TTCACTACCTTTCGCTGAAGTTTTCCCAGTCACTTCTTGGTTGGGTGAAAGTTATCCTCTCAGATTTTTTGAGAAGAGCTCATGAATATAACATTACTGGAATTCTTGCTTGTTTTACACCGCTTATCTATTACCTTGAAGGTCAGCTTGGCCGAGTTGAAATCCTTGGTTTTCACTTTCTTTCCTTGAATTTCTTCAGAATGCTGCTACATTCTCACTTTGTGCTGTACATTGCTCTTGATAAGTTTGATGTCCCTCTAATTCTCTTACACTGAAGTTATTTAGTCTTTATGACTGGAGGCTATGAGAATATTTTATCTTAATAGTTTTATTCAAATATGTCTCTGAGTTGGTTGTTCTGAATTAGTTAGCCAATTACCTGATGGGCCCTTTCAGTATGTACATTCAGATCTTATTTCCAGAAGTTTTTCTTGGTTTATAGTCCAAATATTGGTTCTATCCCATTATTTTGTTTTCTTTCGTAAGGAACTCTAGTTATACTTTGTTGTATCTTCTTTGCCTATCTTCCATTCCAGCTGCTATCTCTCTAAACTCTCTTCCTTCTTTCCCCCTCATTTTTAGCCTCTTAACTGCTAGTTTGCCTTTCTTTAATTCTCCTTAAATTTTTATTTCTGTTCTCCCGTTGGCATCTTGTTATTTAGTCTCTATTTCTGAGATCATTTTTCTTTCTCTTCTGTCTCTTTCCTGAGTTAAATCAACCGTCTTTTTTTTTTTTTATCAACATTGTGTGTGTGTTAGTCGCTGTGTTGTGTCTGACTCTTTGCAACTCATGGACTGTAGCTGACCAGACTCCTCCGTCCATGGGATTCTCCAGGCCAGAGTACTGGAGTGGGGTGCCATTCCCTTCTCAGGGGGTCTCCCCAACCCAGGGATCGAGCCCAGGTCTCCCACATGGCAAGCAGGTTCTTCACTGCTGAGCAATCTAAAGTGGTTCTTTCTATCTCAAAATCATTGTTAGAGGAAATTTAAATCAGATACTGTGTTAGTTTTCTTCTGCTTCATGGTTAGGTTTTTTGGAAAGTTCGTTTGTTTTTTTATTTTTTCAGTTGCACTGCTCTGCTTGAAAGACCTCAATTCCCCAACCAGGGGTTGAACCCAGGCCACATCAGTGAAAGCTCTGAATCCTAACCACTGGACGGCCAGGGAATGCCCTCAACCTATTTTTTTATTCCTTTATCACTCTTCCAGTGGAGAAGGAAATGGCAGCCCACTCCAGTGTTCTTGCCTGGAAAATCCCATGGACTGAGAAGCCTGGCAGGTTATATAGCCCATGGGGTCACCAAGAGTCAGACACAACTTAAGCGACTTAGCACACACTATTCCAGGGAACTCCCTGGAATGATTTTTATCAGCTGAGATGTTTTCTTCTCATTTCTGTTCTCTTCTACTAATAACTTTGTGTGGTGATTACTTTTTTCTATTTTATTTCTTGGGCAGGTTTAGGCTTACAGTAATTGACAGCCATCCTAGTTCAAGGAAGCCTGCCATGTCACTGTACTGAGGTGCAGTGTCTCCAGTGGACTGTGCTTCCTTTTCTTAGTGGTGGGAGGAAGGTTTACATATCCTTCCATTTTAGAGTTCCCTTTTGTCTTGCAGAATTGCAAATTTATCCTCTTGTTTCTTTTTCCCTTCACTTGCGTAGTCTCCAACAAAGACTGAATAAGTCTCTCCCTTTCCTGTTACCCCTCTCTTCCCCAAGAGTAGGACATGTTGACTGATGCTTCCTGGATACCCTTGTACTTTTAAGTCTCATCCCTGTAGTGAATCCTCAGATCTGCCAGGACACTCTCAGTACTTTTTGCACTTGTGATGTGTTTTTCTCCTCTGAGGAGTGATGCTAAGTCTATCTTAGGCCCTTCTTTTACTCCTCTCTTCTTTATAGTTTTTCCAGAACTTACCCCACTCCCATCTTTGCTCTCTGCAAGGGCTTAAAAGAGCAGCTCAAGGGGTATCTCTTCCAGAATTGGGTGTTCACCTTGTCCTTATGATGTTGAGGGTATTGGATTTATGTGGTTTTTTTGCTTTGGTTGACTTCTGTAGCTTTGTGAAAGGTACATGAGAGAGAGTCCATTTAAGCCACTGCCCCTCCCCTTGGCTGCCTTAGTTTTCACCATGCGTATCTTGACAAGCCACTTAGGAACCGTGTGGAGCAGGTTTGGGAACTTTGGGTAAGGGTAGAGGATTAGAAAGAAGACATTTGATTTAGAATGTATTGATTTTGAGATGTTTCTGTCCATTCATGTAGAGATGTTCTTCAAACAGTGAGATATCTGATCTGAACGTCATGTCAGAGATAGGAATTATCGCTTCTATAAACTCTGGTGGAGTCCTAGCAAGCTGGAATTAGAGCCATAAACTCCTTTGTGGAATGCCTGCCTTGTTCTAACTCCTACCTATGTATAGATTCATCTCCTATGAACATATAAGGGCTTTGGAAAACAGGTAATATGGGGATGTTACTCAGTTCAGTTCAGTTCTGTCGCTCAGTTGTGTCCGACTCTTTGCGACCCCATGGACTGCAGCCTGCCAGGCCTCCCTGTCCAACACCAGCTCCCGGAGCTTACTCAAACTCACGCCCATCAAGTCAGTGATGTTTCTAGTAAAGTACTATTGTCTGGTGCTTTGTATTATCATATTCAGCAGTTTGAGTGATGTAACAGAGATCTAGATATTATTCTGAGCAATCAGTCTTTGCTGCTGAACCTGTTGAAAGAAAAGGAAAATCACAGATCAGTAGATCAGATCACCTCCTTGATGGAAACAAAATAACACATAGACTAAAACTTCATAATTTTTTTTGTCATATTCAAAATTTCCCTCAGTAACCATAATGCTCATTAAGTGGGTTAAATTCGTAAATCTTCAACGTTCTATGCCAGTAACTTTCTAAAGCAACTGCCGTTTCTCCTGTCCTCCTCCCAATCACCCTTTACTTGGCTGGTGGTGGTAGTTTAGTTGCTAAGTCATGTCTGACTCTTGTGACCTCATGGACTGTAGCCCACCAGGCTTCTCTGTCCATGGATTTCTCCAGGAAAGAATTTTGGACTGGGTTGCCATTTTATTCTCCAGGGGAATCTTCTGACTCAGGGATCAAACCCATGTCTCTTGCATTGCAGGCAGATTCTTTACTATTGAATCACCAGGGAAGCCCTTTACTTGGCTACAGAAAGACAGATGTATGCATGCTTATACCTAAATGCCTTTAAGATAATAATATCTATTTTAAAAAATTTTTATATTTGTTTTATTGATTTTTTATTTATTTGGCTGTGCTCAGTCTTAGTTGCAGCACGTGGAATCTTCGATCTTTGTTGAAGCATGCAGGATTTTTTTTAGTTGCAACATGCAAACTCTTAGTTGCAGCATGTGGAATCTAGTTCCCTGAACAAGGATTGAACCCAGGCTCCCTGCATTGGGAGCGTGAAATCTTAGCTACTAGACCACCAGGGAAGTCTCAATAATACCTGTATTTAAATACAGTTTAATTAACAGAGTCTTCAGACTATAACCTGTGATGGATTTTCCATGTGTTACTTGAGTGTGTGCTTTTCTTCCTTTTATAAGAGAAAATAAAATCAAAAACAACAACAAAGAAATGGCATTTGTTAAAGCGCAAATTTTTAAAAGGTAGTACTCTTTTACTTCTTAAATACTTTTCCCAGTTGTGTATTTTTATGGTTGCAAGCAAGAGTAGATGATTTCTTTCTCCACTGAGATATCTTTAGATGGAAAAGACAATAATAGTGAAGTAAAAAAAAAAAGTATAAGAATTTTTTTTTAAGTGATTGGCTCTTTCACTTGACATTTTATTAATCTGAATACCTGGATAAAGTGGTTCTTCAAATTGTGCATTCTTTTGAATTCACCAAGAGGCAGTGTAGTGTTGTGATTCAAATTGGGGTCTCTGGAAGCCTACTGCCTAAGTTCTCATTCCATGCTACCTTTATTGTGCCTGCTTTCTCATCTGTATAATTGAATAAAAATAACACCTACTCATAAAAATTTGTGCAGATGATATGTAATTTGCATGGAACAATGTTATTTAATTGCTAACCATTACTGTGAGATTATATCAACAAGATTCTGGGGTGGGATTTTTGAGACTATTTAGAATTTGTGTATCTTTACTATTTAATTATTATTATTTTACTTATTTATTATGTATGTATTTAATTATGTTGGCTTCACGTGTGACTTAGCATGTCAACCAGTTAGCACAAAATTGATGGATGTATGATGCAAGACAGAAAAATCAAAGCTAGTATTTTCATAGAAGTCTGTATGGATATGAAAGCATTCATGAAGAATTAAAGCTGCCTTAGTTTTTATGCTTTTTTAGTATTTTCCTTAGGATCTAAGAATTTAAGGATCCATTCCTTCATATATAGAAAAGCTAGGGGCAATAAATGATACTCTAGAAAGATTTTGTTATTGTTTTTAATGGCCACTTTGTTGAGCAGCCGTCTCTCTTCTCTCCACCAGGTGGCAGTCGAGCACTTTGTAGCCATACCATGTCCTGGTCCCACCCTTTCTAGTCTGCGGTATTGACCTGGAATAGGACCAGAAAGATAAACACCGTACACCAGAGTATGCAGTGTTCCTTCAGCTGGGTTTTACAGCATCATATTTTAAACATTTTATTGAGGATAATGACCACAAGAGATTGGATAAGATTCCTTCCCACAAATTCTTTTGAAGTACATACAAACCCATGATGAGAAACATATGTGTAATCTTTGCAGTGGCTAGAATAACTACATAGGACTTAACTGAATTAACAAAACAACCTCCAGATATTTTTTAGTGTATTTAAGGTTAAATGGAAATAAACCTTTGGCATCCAGGGCAAATTAGTTTTAGCTAGTAAACTGTGAGAGCCCTGTCCTTGGTAAAGTGATTAAGCCAAACCGTCTTATTTTCCAGGTGCAACACTGCGCTGCAAGTCAATCAGTACAGAAATTTAAATCACTTCAACACCAATGGAGAAGTATGAAAAATTAGCTAAGATTGGAGAGGGATCTTATGGGGTTGTATTCAAATGCAGAAACAAAATCTCAGGACAAGTGGTAGCTATTAAAAAATTTGTGGAATCCGAAGATGATCCTGTTGTTAAGAAAATAGCTCTAAGGGAAATACGCATGTTAAAGGTAGGTTAACTTCCTCTATACATCTATAATATACATCTATACATCTATAATATCATACATCTATAATATCACAGTACTGGACCAAACAGGTATACCAAAATTACAAAGAATTTTAAGTGATTTTTTTTTTTTTTCTGTTGGACTTAAATTCCCCTGTATCAGCAACTCTGTAAATAGATCATCAGTTTGGGCTTTGGCCACTCTAATATTTAAGTGATATTATGAGTACAGTTATAGATTGTTCAAGTTTTGATTGTTAAAAATTCGTTCTGGTTGGTAAATATTCAATGTCCTAAGTCCCCTCATCTGCAGTGTTTATCCTCCCCTTCAGCCTTGACCTTTCCTCCCAACCCCCACCCAAGTCCTTCTCCACATAAACCAGCAACTAAAAGGGCTTTTTGTGGTACTGTGGGGCCCACAGGGATGCGTCAGAGTGCCTATAGTCATCAATCTGGTTTGGGGCCCACCTGAGCTCCACTGATTCTTAGACACATTGACTATCACCCTCAGCTATGTATACACACTTTACATAAAGTCTTTAAGTTGCTCTTACTCTGATAGGATTTAATATGTAAGAGGCACAAGCTCTCTATGCAAATTTTTTCTTATTAAAAATCTTACAAGTTTAGAGCCGTAAGAGAACTTAGAGATGCTTCTCATGCGACACCCTAATTTTATAGGGGAGGAAACTGAGGCAAAGGGCAGTGCAGCAGAATCCCGAGGACCTTGTCGGAATGCAGATTCTGAGTCCAGGTCTGGGGTCAGCCTGACATTCCGTGTTTCTAACAAACTCCCTGTTGGCACAGATGCTGCTCGTCTGTGGACCACACTTTGAGTAACAAAACTGTGATTTCCTCAGGAACACACAGCTAGCCTTTACTTTTTGGCATATGTCACCTGTTTACAGGAAAACCCCAGAAATCCAGTTTTTAAAGGGAGATAAAACTCCCTTCCCTTTAAAAACATTTGTAGCAGGTTTCCTCAACTAAAAAGTTTTAGCATTTTGTTTAAAATATGACTTGATATGCACGGAGTTTTCCAGAGCACATCCATCATGATTTTAAAAACAGTTCCCTGTTACCTCGTGGCCAGCAGAGTGCTGAGCAGACATCACAGATGAGCTGGGTGTGTCCGAACCTGGCAATGGGTTGTTTTCTAGTAGGAAAGCTTTTTATGCTCCCGCTCCCACCAACCCTTCAAATACAGTTGATGCTCAGGTAGCACCTCCTGGGTTACAAGTGTCCAATTTGAGGGTGCACTGGAAGGTAGAAAATAGCCGGATTCCAACTCACTTTGGTCTCCGGTGATGGCTCTGATGGTAAAGAATCTTCCAGCAATGCAGGAGACCTGGGTTCAATCCCTGGGTTGGGAAGATCCCCTGGAGAAGAGAATGGCTACCCACTCCAGTATTCCTGCCTGGAGAATCCCATGGACAAAGGAGCCTGGCGGGCTACCAGTCCCTGGGGTCACACAAAGTCAGACACCCCGAGTGACTAAGCACGATGGCTCTCAGAAGGCGCACCTCTCCTGTCTCTGGTGTGTTTCATCCACCTGCGCCCTGAAGAGATCCCTTCCTTACTTTACTGACATACTCCTGCTATTTAAATTTCCTTTGATTTCCTCCTCCTCACTACCTGGTTGTCTTTACATAAGTCACTGTTTTCTGATCTAAGTTCATTTGATTTGCAAAGAAGATATAAATTGCCAATCTACTCAGAGATAGAGCTGAAAGCCTTGCCAGCACATCCAACTGCAGTATCTGTGCACCCCTGACTCTTGATAGAGACTGTTTAGCTCCTAGTCTGCAGTTTTTGCCTCAGCATGAAGCATGTGGCTTACCTGTGTGGCCTGTTCCCTCCACTGCTTGCCTTTCTGCTCTTTTAGGTGGTGGGGCACATAGGAAACAAGTTGATCGGGTGCTCTAGGTGTATCGTTCATGTGTAATGCGTTCCCTTTCCCCACACTCTTGAGCAGCAGGCGCATAGTCAGTCACAGGGTGATACTTTTTGTTCCGGGTTTTGGTATTTTTTTTTGGTTGGTTGATTTTTTTTTTTTTTTGGATCAAGCCATGCTTACAGATAAGAGAGAGTATACTGTACAAGTTGCCGTACTTTAAGCCTCTCTACTGGGCCTGCAAAATATTTGTTGAGTTTCTATGATATACAAAATACTACGTATCTTTCTGAGTAAATGGTGTCTAGAGTTTGGAAAGTTAATTTGTCTACTCTACTGGGAAAACAACAGGAAGATGACTCAAAAGTAGGAGTGATCATATGTCCTGGTTTATAGCTTCTCTCCCTGTATTCAGTGTGGTTAGCATCCCTTTTTGTCTGGCTAGCATTTTCTTTCAAAAGTGTACTGGTTCATGTATGAAATTACACAGTCACCTTACCTACAGGCAGAGTGACCACATGTGCTGATTTGCCTGGGACAGTCCTGGTTTACACTCATTACCCTGGTTGGATGACAAATTATGTAGTTACTTTAGTGATATTATCTTACTTAATTGGGGTTTTTCCTTTGATTTGCGACATTGTGAAATGCTTGTGAAAGGCAGCCTTGTGAAATGCTTCAGTCTGGGAATTGAATTTAACTCATTAAACATCTCAGAGTAAGACAGAACAAGAAAATCAAAGAAGAGAGCTGAAACTGTGATAAATTTAACACAGACTAACCGTAGGGATTCCTAGAATATGCAGTTATTTCAGATTCAAGGGTTGAGATCTAGTCTTTCTGAGCACCAACACTGGAATCCAGGCTGGATTTAAATGCAGTTGTTTACATTAAATCTATGACAGTATATAAGCTAAATGCGTATTGATGATTTTTATAGTCTTTTACTCAATAATTCCATTACCATTCTGTATTCAGATCACCTTACAACTTGTATATTTAGAAATTTCCACTTAATTCATAAAGCATTTTTAATTTTAGTGCTTATATTTTAAGTTGTACTTTGCTATCTCCAGAGAGATTCAAGCAGCTTAGTTACCCTTTACTATGGGGTATGTTAGATAAATTCTTTCTTCCAACTTTGAGATTCTTTGGTACTTACTAAGCATTTCTCTTTTGAGTAACTGTAATAATTTCTTGGCAAGAAATGCAAAGAGAATGATTAGCAAAGCCTTTGGCTCTTAAAATTGTAAGGGGTCTGGGAGAAACTATTACAAGAAATGAATCACCAACCTTTGTATTTCAATTCCTTTGCAGCAATTAAAACATCCAAATCTTGTGAACCTCATTGAGGTGTTCAGGAGAAAAAGGAAAATGCATTTAGTTTTTGAATACTGTGATCACACACTTTTAAATGAGCTGGAAAGAAACCCAAACGGGTAAGTAATCTAGAACACTGAAGTTCTGCTGGCTGGTTCCCAGTTTCATTATATGTGGGATTCAGTTCAGTTCAGTTCAGTCACTCAGTCATGTCCGACTCTTTGTGACCCCATGTACTGCAGCACGCCAGGCTTCCCTGTCCATCACCAACTCCCGGAGCTTACTCAAACTCATGTCCTTTGAGTCAGTGATGCCATCCAACCATCTCATCCTCCGTCATCCCCTTCTCCTCCCTCCCTCAATCTTTCCCAGCATCAGGGTCTTTTCAAATGAGTCAGTTCTTCACATCAGGTGGCCAAAGAATTGGAGTTTCAGCTTCAGCATCAGTTCTTCCAATGAATATTCAGGACTGATTTCCTTTAGGATTGTCTGGTTGGATCTCTTGCAGTCCAAGGGACTCTCAAGTGTCTTCTCCAACACCACAGTTCAAACGTATCAATTCTTTGGTGCTCAGCTTTCTTTATAGTCCAACTCTCACATCCATACATGACTACTAGAAAAACCATAGCTTTGACTAGGCAGACCTTTGTTGGTGAAGTAATGTCTCTGCTTTTTAATATGTTGTCTAGGTTGGTCATAGCTTTTCTTCCAAGGAGCAAGTGTCTTTTCATTTCATGGCTGTAGTCACCATCTGCAGTGATTTTGGAGCCCAAAGAAATAGACTGTTTCCTTTGTTCCCCCATCTATTTGCCATGAAGTGATGGGACCAGATGCCATGATCTTAGTTTTTTGAATGTTGAGTTTTAACCTGGGTTTTTCACTCTTCTCTTTCACCTTCATCAAGAGCCTCTTTAGTTCCTCTCCACTTTCTGCCATAGGGGTGGTGTCATCTGCATATCTGAGGTTATTGATATTTCTTCTGGCAATTTTGATTCCAGGTTGAGCTTTATCCAACCCATCGTTTTGCATGTTGTCCTCTGCATTTAAGTTAAATAAGCAGGGTGACAGTATACAGTCTTGACATACTCCTTTCCTGATTTGGAACCAGTCTGTTGTTCCATGTCCAGTCCTAGCTGTTGCTTCCTGACCTGCATACAGATTTCTCAGGAGGCAGGTCAGGTGGTCAAGTATTCCCATCACTTGAAGAATTTTCCACAGTTTATTGTGGTCCACACAGTCAAAGGCTTTGGCATAGTCAATAAGGCAGAAGTAGATGTTTTTCTGGAACTCTTCTGCTTTTTCAGTGATCCAAGGGATGTTGGCAGTTTCTGGTTCCTCTGCCTTTTCTAAATCCAGCTTGAACGTCTGTAAGTTCATGGTTCACATACTGTTGAAGCCTGGCTTGGAGAACTTTGAGTATTACTTTACTAGCGTGTGAGATGAGTGCAATTGTGTGGTAGTTTGAGCAATTTTTGGCATTGCCTCTCTTTGGGATTGGAATGAAAACTGACCTTTTCCAGTCCTGTGGCCTCTGTTGAGTTTTCCAAATTTGCTGGCATATTGAGTGCAGAATGTTCACAGTATCATCTTTTAGGATTTGAAATAGCTCAACTGGAATTCCATCACCTCCGCTAGCTTTGTTCATAGTGATGTTTCCTAAGGCCCACTTGACTTTGCATTCCAGGATGTCTGGCTCAAGGTGAGTGATCACACCATTGTGATTATCTGGGTCATTAAGACCTTTTTTGTACAGTTCTTCTGTGTATTCTTGCCACCCCTTCTTAATATCTTCTGCTTCGGTTAGGTCCATACCATTTCTGTCCTTTATTGAGCCCATCTTTGCATGAACTGTTCCCTTGGTATCTCTAATTTTTTTTAAGAGATCTCTAGTCTTTCTCATTCTATCAGTTTCCTCTATTTCTTTGCACTGATCACTGAGGAAGTCTTTTTTTATCTCTCCTTGCTATTCTTTGGCACTCTGCATTCATATGGGTATATCTTTCCTTTTCTCCTTTGCCTTTCGCTTCTCTTCTTTTCTCAACTATTTGTAAGACCTCCTCAGACAACCATTTTGCCTTTTTCCATTTCTTTTTCTTGGGGATGGTCTTGATCCCTGTCTCCTGTACAATGTCACAAACCTCCATCCGTAGTTCTTCAAGCGTCCTATCAGATCTAATCTCTTGAATCTATTTGTCACTTCCACTGTATAGTCATAAGAGATTTGATTTAGGTTATATCTGAATGGTCTAGTGGTTTTCCCTACTTTTTTCAATTTAAGTCTGAATTTGGCAATAAGGAATTCATGATCTGAGCCATAGTCAGCTCCTGGTCTTGTTTTTCCTGACTGTATAGAGCTTCTCCATCTTTGGCTGCAAAGAATATAATTAATCTGATTTCTGTATTGACCATCTGGTGATGTCCATGTGTAGAGTCTTTTCTTGTGTTGTTGGAAGAAAGTGTTTGCTATGACTACTGCATTCTCTTGGCAAAGCTCAATGAGCCTTTGCCCTGCTTCATTCTGTACTTCAAGGCCAAATTTGCCTATTACTCCAGGTAGCTCTTGACTTCCTACTTTTGCATTCCAGTCCCCTATAATGAAAAGGACATCTTTTTTGGGTGTTAGTTCTAAAAGGTCTTGTAGGTCTTCATAGAACTGTTCAACTTCAGCTTCTTCAGCATTACTGGTCCAGGCATAGTCTTGGATTACCATGATATTGAATGGTTTGCCTTGGAAATGAACAGAGATCATTTTTTCATTTTTGAGACTGCATCCAAGTACTGCATTTCAGACTCTTTTGTTGACTATGATGGCTACTCCATTTCTTCTAAGGGATTCTTGCCCACAGTAGTAGATATAATGGTCATCTGAGTTAAATTCACCCATTCCAGTCCATTTTAGTTTGCTGATTCCTAAAATGTCGCTGTTCACTCTTGCCATCTGTTTGACCACTTTCAATTTGCCTTGATTCATGGACCTAACATTCCAGGTTCCTATGGAGTACTGCTCTTTATAGCTTCAGACTTTACTTCCATCACCAGTCACACACACAACTGGGTGTTGTTTTTGCTTTGGCTCCGTCTCTTCATTCTTTCTGAAATTATTTCTCCACTGATCTACAGTAGCATATTGGGCACCTACCAGCCGGGGGAGTTCATCTTTCAGTGTCCTATCTTTTTGCTTTTTCATACTGTTTGTGGGGTTCTCAAGGCAAGAATACTGAATTGTGGGATTAACGATGGCAAATTTCAGACCTGAGCCCCCTTCTACCCAAATGCATCTGCTGGCTCCTTCTCCCCAATCTCAGGATGTGCTCAAAGGGCAAATGAATATTAACCAAAGGTAATATTAACTTAGAGTAAATATAATGTATAGTATTTAACAGACAAAATACTACAAATATAAATCACAATGTATTTCAAAGCTAAGTTATATGTTGGATTGTCCGAATTCAAGGAATGAACCATAGTTCTTTCATATAATTTGCTAAAGTTAATGGAGAAAAAATACATATTTGATAAAATTTGAAAAGGCAGTTGATAAATTCAGCATCTTCTCCTGATTATTTGGGGGAGAAAAACCTTAGCAAACTAGAATTAAAATACTTTCTTTATACCCACACACACACACATACAGACACACAACTTCTCCAAATTGACTGCAAATTTTATATTCAATGATAAAAACCTAGAGAAACCATCATTAAAGTGAGAAATAAAACATGAGAACTCTAGCCAGCATATGCACTAAGAAAAACAAATCGGATTTAAAACTTTGGAAAGCAAGAACTCTAAATTCTGTACACAAAAAGTAATGGCTTTTGTATCAGTCAATACTTTAGAAAATCTAATGGAAAAGGATCCCATTCAAATGTCAACAACAAGAATGTTTAGAAATAAAGATACAAAAGAAATGTTAAAACTCTGCCTAAAAACAATTACAAAACTGAGATACATAAAGGATTTTATTTAAATGAACATATATTTCTGGATGAAAGTATTCACTATTATGTTTTGGCTTCCTTCCTGATTTATTTATTGCATAAAAATCTAATCAGAATGCCAGTGTTTTTTTTTTTTCTTCTCCTTTTTAAATTTATTTATTTTTTAATTGAAGGATAATTGCTTTACAGAATTTTGTTATTTTCTGTCAAACGTCAACCTGAGTCAGCCATCGGTTTTTGTTTTGAATTTGAGAAAGTTCAACTAAACCAAGAAATTTTTTAAAAGAAGAAATGCAACTTCAACTGCCAAATAATGCCATATTAGTTTTAGAGAGTCCCTTTGACAAAAAGTATATAAACAAAACTAAAAAAGAAGTGGCAAATTGGGTAAATCTTTGCCAGATGAAGAATTAATTTCATTTCATACCTTCATATGTAGATTTTGCTAATCAAATTTCTAAAAAAATTAACACCCAATTAAAACACATATTCATTCAGAAAAATTGAGTGAACTCCTACTGTTATTCTCGGCTGGCTGCTAAGGGTCTCTTGGTGAACAGAACATGTAAAAAAAGCTGCCTAATGTGAAAAAGCAAATCGTAAAATAAAAAGGGGAAAATGACCAATATGCCTATAAAAACATGTTTATCCTCACTATTAAAGATAGAAATTTAAATTTTAAAATAAGGTATATCATTTTTCACATATCAAATTGGCAGATATTTTTCAAAAATCAATGTACCCAGTATTGTTAAAGTCAAATCCAGCACTCCCATTCACAGCTAGAGAATGTAATTAGGAGGGCCATTTGCTATATACATGAAAATCTTTTAAAAGGTTTTCTTCTGCTAATCAGAAATTCCATTTAGAGAAATTTATGGTAAGAAAATAATCAAACAGGTACAAAATTTATACATAAAAATGGTCAGCACATCATTATGTACAAAAAAAAGAAGTAGGGGACTGATCTAATTTCCCATAGTAAAGATCTGGTTAAATGCAATTTGATATATCCATACAGTGTGACAGTATGTGTTAAGAACATTAAAAAGCAATCTGTAGAATAGTTAATGTCCTGGAGAAATGTTCATGAAATGGCATGTGAAAAAATGAGGATTCAAAGTAGAATGTTCAGTGTGATTAAAAATTGTTTTGAATTATCACAATATTTTAGTGAA